AAGCCTTGGAATTTATTTTTTTCATATGAAACCAATGCTACAAAAAAAACCTGGATTCTCTGGCTAGCTTGTAAATGCATGCACTTCACATCCTGGAAATACTATACCCTTACAAGGGATTTCAGCAGAATGTACTATTTTAGGAGTTAAGACCTTTATGAAACAACAACATAAAATGTAATAATGTCTCATGAAGTCTGTCATTTGAAGAAAAATCCTTAATTGAAAGAAAAAGAACTAAAATGTTTTTAAAAATCTACTCCAAAATAGGGTATTTACAGGCTCCAACTTTTAGTCAACTAAACAAGAACTGGAACTTGGAATCTCTGAGTAATGGTTCAATGAGTTCTAAATTTATGAAAACAGAAATAGAAATAAATTCTCCGGAGATAAGTGACAACAGAGGTACAACCAGAAAAAAATRTGAGGTCCAACAGTTTCCTGTGCCTACACAACGTCATATTGTTGGCCCAGGACGACTGAGTTGAGTAAATCCTCCTACTCGGACAACAAGGGGACTATAGCATACCTGGAAAGAGAGCTGTGAGCCCAGCGCTCCCTGAAGGCACAAGGTGCAGAAGCTGGCTTGTCCTCATGGTTCCACACAGACTATCAGGAGTGTGCAGTGGAAGGAGTGGGTGTTTTGGGGTGTGGTCTGTCAATAGCTAGGTAACTTTTGCCAACTCAATTTAAATATGTGTTTTTTTGTATGTAAAAGGAAGATGAAACAGAATCTAAGTCAAATACTGCTGAGATCAAATATAATAGTGTTAATAAATGCAGCTACTTCTATTTAAACAAATTTAAACCATTTTATTACCTACTAGAGCTGCGTAAGTAAAAGTACGCAGAACTAGGAGTCCAGCTAGATTTGGATTTAATACTGGAAATGACTCGTTGAAGACTGTGCCACCTGCACACAGAGAATAAGACAATGCCTCATTTTTCTGTCAAAATCGGCTCAGGTGGTAGATTCTCTAGCTCTCCTTGGGCCACTACTGCCAACATTCTCCATTCTGCAGGTGGTGTAAACTCTGATGGTGAGACTTACAGCTGGTGTGAGCAGGTTTATTATAACTATGTGAGTTCCTTGCTGACAGAGACTTCATCCTGCTGAACTCTGCAGCAGACATTGCTAGGTACTAAAAATACACAGTGAGCCCCTACTAACAGTGATTGACTGGTTGATGAGCTAAGTAGGATAACATGACACAAAACATCAGAAGGACACATTCTACTCTCATGCAGTAGAAGGAAATTCAGTATTTTAGTCAAAGATGTGACCAATCTAAGCATGCAGAAAAATAACTTAATAATCTACGACAAAAGGGAGGAGGATCGATGAAAACCAAGCATGAAAACTTGGATCCCGCACTCGCCTTTCTCTTCGGTCGCTATTACTTAGGACGCACAGGTCAAGAGCTGCTGAACGGAAAGACTTGTTTCTGGTCCTTATCTTGGCCAATCACACTAGTCTGCACTTTGCTTAAGATGAACGATGACAGRCATTTACAGGAAAAGTGGCTTCCCTGTGTGGGCTGCCCCCAGATTTCTYAGAAGCCCCAGAACTTCTTGCAGAGGCACTGGCAGGCGGAGCTCGTGGCCGACGGCGGGGGAGCACACCTGCGCCGCGACCTGGCGGCGCTGGGSGAGCCCTCTGCGCTCCGGGGCGGGCGGGCGCCGGGCGGGCGAGTCCAGGGTCCGGCGTGCGCACGTCCCGGCCCTGAGCCGACGGCGGGGGCCTGCGCCGCCCGCGCCGCGGTCCCGCTGCACTTACTCAGGCTTGCTGGCAGGTTGCGAGGTCGGCCGCGGGCACGAAAYCGGGCGCCGCGCAGCAGCGTCGCTCCGCGCCGCTTCCGTCGCTCCTCATCCTCCTCCTCCAGCCGAAGGGCGGCCGCCGTCGCCACGGTCTAGCCCGGAGATCCAGCGGCGCGGCTCTTGGCGGCTCCACTTCCGGCCAGCGCTCGAGTGTCGCCGGCAAATGTCCCCGCCGGCTCCCACATAACCTGCTCTCCGCCGTCCTCCCGGGTGGGAACCGGGCCGCCCTTCCGAGCATGCGCGGAAACCGCGGGCCGAGAGGCTCACGACGGTGGCCGACAGGGCAATTATACCTCAGCGCCTCCTTSCGGCCAAGGTTGCGTGGCTAACGCTCGTGCGTCTCATAACCCTGGGCCTCGCGAAAGGCGCTCGCGATCACTACTCTCCCCCGGGCCTCACCCCGCAAAAGCCCATCAGACCTTGACCCCGGGGACTCCACGACATGGCCTTTCTTTGTTTTGACAAAGAAATCCTGTCTGCCCGTGGGGTTGTTAGGGTCCCCCTTCTGACCCCACGAGYGGAGTGGCAGGGCAGAGGCAGGCCTGAATCCTGCACACTGGGAGGGTTCTTCAAAGGAAAAGAGGATTTATTTTTTCCAAGTTCCATAAAGCACAAGCCTGCGGGAACGTGTTAGGTCGTGTAGGTCATTGCTTCAGGTGGACCAGCATTGCACCCTTGCAAGGAGCTGGTTTACCCGGTTTACCCCATCTGCCTCGCTTTACCCCAGGGCCAGTCCCATTCTGTAAGCTCTATTTTATATATAAAGAGGAAATCTCCTAAGTTGTTGTTTTTGTTACGCAACTGGGGCCTTCCAAGAAACTGAGGCGACACAAAGACACCCCCCAATACCCCCATTCAAATCCCGATTCTTGCGACCAAATCAGATTTTAGACCTGTTGACGGGAGTAACAGGAATGGGGAAGGCCACACTCAAAGGAGGGAGTGGGTCCTCTCAGATGAGAGAGGGATGCCCTGCTTCTCCTGCACCTCAGATTTGGAAATCCCTGCGAAATTTCCAGAGAATCCCACCTGAGGTCCACCTCTTGACTTTTGACAGCAGAGGGACATAAGACTCCCAAGTTACTGTCATAGTAACTCTAGGTCACCTTGGCCCGTGCTGACTCCAGTTGGATTCTTAACCATACATTCTTACAGATTTTATGGTTAAGAGGAACTACCCTTTCTCCCAGTTTCAGGATCCAGTCACAAAAGACTCCCGGGTTCTTCCAAAAACATTATCTTGGGCCTGCAYTTCTCTTGCAGTTAACAGGTAGTTTGCAATGGAATATGACATATCTTGTCCCATTAGGCCAGGCAGGTGAATTGACTCTTGGAAAAGAAATCATGTGCACCGTGAGCCCATTTTATAGAATTATTCTCTTAAGCTCATGTCCCCACGATGCTCATCTGTTTGTCCCCTGACAGTTTGGTTGGTTTTAACAAATGTATCTTGCTACTAGATAAAAAGCTCCAGGAAAGTCTTAAAGTATGACTTACATAAATAAATTAACAGTCACAGCAACTCTAAAAGATACTATGAGAAAAACAGTTACCTGTCCAAAGCCAAAGAATGGACTAATATACACMAGGCAAGAGTGAAGGTTTACTTTAATGATGGTCTTGCAAGATCAGGGTGCCTGGTGGTCAGGATGCACAAACTGAGCATTACCAGAATTTTATGCCCTAGAACTCAAGATCCTGCCTTTGGTTCCTCATTGGTCGAGTACTATGGGGTGTTTTACTGTCTCCTATTGGGTTATTTAAAGAAATCTACCTTTAGTTGTCCCCATCTCCCTTTGTTCTCTTGTGGCTGAAAGTCTCCTTGGATTGAGCACCTTTTGACACACTTTATCTCAGGTCAGCCCTTGCTTCTCCCTTCCTGTTGGTGAAGGGACTATAAATTTGTACATTCCAGTRTTAACTGCTTTTAACTTCTTATTCTGCTGTACTTGAAGCTGCCTATTTTATATCCCAAGTCATTTCAAATTTAAGGCTGAATACTGTATTCTGAAAATGGAACCCTGGACTTTTTAGTGTGTGTGTAGTGGTGGTGATTGGACCCAGGGCCTTGTGCATGTGAGACAAGGACTCTACCAACTGAGCTATATCCCCAGCCTCTGGGCTTTTAATTTCTCACAATACTTTGTGGAAAAAAMCTTGGTTCTCTTTGAACCAAGCAGCAAAAATCACACCACAAATTGGGGACTGGGCTTAGAATCAATTTCTGGTTTATCTAGTTAGGTAATTCATGGTTCTCATTTCAGTAATACAAAGTCTAGCACCTGAAATTGTAAGAACACTATAAATACTRAACAAGACAAGTAGACAGACAAGAGCTCTTGCATGTGACCAGCAAATGGAACCTCTTCTAATTTAACATTACTGGGTGTTTTCCAATGTAAAYTGATACTTAAGTTGAATAGTGGGGGTGGGGGAATAATATTGACAGAACAGTATCATGTGGCTTTACAACATCACAGATGATTTCTGACAAATATCCAGTAATTCCACTAAACTAAACATACAAAGAAAGTAACAATGTTGTTAACATGGAAGAAGCCATAGGATCTAAGTCCACTTCAAACTAGCACTGTGAACTAAGTTAAGTGAGAGTTTTGTAAAATGAGGATTTTGTACATTAGATAATCCCACATGGTAGTTAAAACATTTTAGAATTATTATCAGAGCCCACTGCAGCAAAATCTCACTTTGATTTTAAATCAATATTATTTTATCCTAAAAGGAAATCATTCTAACGGTTTCTCCCCCCACCTGTTATAGATAATTTCTCATTCTCCAAGGCGAAAAAGGAGAGATGACTGCAAAATTTCAATGCAAAGCAGCAGTTCCTGCAACATAAGGACTGAGTTTTTGTTTCTCAATACTAGATATCTAGAACCTCAATATTGGATATCTGGCACATCTACTATATCATAGCAGGTGCTTAATGACGGAATCCACAGTTGCGGGTAGTAGGCTAATTGCAAAGACCACTTTGAGTTCCCAGTCACAACCCCGGGCAATCACTGGGGTCCTCTCTCCCCAGGCCAAACAGGGGTTGCCGGGTGGGGGCTGTTTCGAACTCCACTGCGCCTGCGCGCGCCGGCCTCTGACGCGACGGCTGGTCCTCGCGTTTGCACTGCGCCTGCGCGGCTCACAACTGCAAGTGGCGTTCTTGCGGGCGGGGTTTCCGGTCCGGTGTCGGGTCCCGGCTCTGGACGTCCGGTAGGAGGGCGGCGGGAGMAGGTGAGGCTTCCGCGGCCGGGGGCGCGGTCGGGTCGAGGTCTGGGCGCGGCGGCGTACGGTCAGAGCCCCCATTCCTTTGTGCGTTTAGGGCGGCGCGGAGCCGCGCGTGCCAGCGGCTGGACCTGGGGAGTGCGCCCGGCCAGCCTGCGTGGGCGCCGGGCTCCTGGGTCCCGCGCTGGGGCTGGGCTCGGAGCGGGCGGAGGACCGCGCAGCGGGGCCGCCTGCGGAGACTGCCCGCCYGGAGGGAGTCGCCCCTGGCGCGCCTGCACTCGGCTGCGCGCACCTGGGGGTCCCGGAGCCTCGGTTGTTCGGTGCCGCTAGTTTCTTCTCCTTGAGATTCGCCCAGAGTGTCGCCAAGTGCCAGCGCAGGTGCTCTGGCTCCGCGAGTCCTCTGTCTCGGAGGGCAGCAGCTGGTCCGGGGCTGCACAGGGGACTTCAGTTGTGCTGCCACTTCYTCTTTCTCCAATAAAACAGCGCTTGAACATCTTCTATGACCACYAATTAAAACGGGCGCTGGTTTTGCTGTGGCATCTCACAGCAGCCGGATGCATTCGTTGTGTTAATTACTGCTTCCAGTCTCTTGAAAGCTTCACTTTATTACTGTTAMAACTGAAGCATCCTCCTCCCCCCACCCATTCTTATTTGCTCAGTATTTTGCACTATTAGATTTTAAATGTTGTGAGGATCGGTAAACATTAAAGTACTGATAGTTTCAAGGATTTCCTAATAGGGCACTGTGTTGAGCACGTATGTAAAAATGATCTGATTTCATCCCCATTCTAATTTCCAAAGGTTTTTTAAATTTTTAAATTTTTWAAAAATTTTTAAACTTCATTGTACTCTTAAGCTGAAACTTTAAGAAATTGTCCCATATTAATCACACAGCTATAGTCCACGTTTGAGTATTTATTAGACTCCAGAACTGAACATAACAACAAAGCTTTTTTGTCTCATTGCAAATGGAAAGAATTAGCTAAAAAGCTCAGAATCCAAAAAATAAAATTAGAGTGCATGTAAAAGAAAATTGAGATCCTAATATTTGACTTTTTATGCAATGGCAATAAGCAAAAATTGTCTATTCTTTTTATAGTAATTTTGTAATTTCATTACCTGTACATAGTTATTTTAAGATACATGTATATTCACACCATTGCCTAAATTTTGTCATTTTGTAAAGCAATTGAAGTCTTGAGTGAAATTTTGACTTTGAGACCATGTGGCATTTACAAACAGATCTATAAAACTATATCAATGTTTGAATATTCAGAGAAGTATTTCTTAATAAAGTTAATCTTATATGTATTTTACATAAATTATAGATGCAGTGTGTGTGCTGTAGTATATCCACTTGAGAGAACCAGGTGGTACAGTCAGTTATGCAAACCAGAGTATGAAAGGGAAGGCAGTTACTATAATCAAAGTCTGAGGAAAGTGGTCTGTCCTGGGCTTATCTCTTGATCTAAACTGCTCAGTAGAAGTGGGGCTTGCTTTGTCAAAAATTAGATTGAGAGGGGCATGGTTTTTCTCTGCAGGCTGCCCAGTGGCAGCTGTGAACCATTGCCAGTGCCATCAGAACCAGGCTGTATCCCACTAGTGGGTTGGTGTGTACATATGTGACCAGCAGGACTTTCCCCATATGCTTTCCCAGGAACCAACTGTAGGGGTTTAGTAAGTGACAGGCAAACAAAGCTACTATGGGTTTGCCACTGGTAGCTGAAATTACAACATGGTTTCTGACCTGTAGAGATGGTGTGTATCTGTTTTGTGTGCTGAAGTGGGGAATCCCATGGCTTTTACTCKATAGTAGAGCTCTTTACTTCATAAAAAGCCTCTGGTTCCACTGCATGCTGGTGTGCCAGACAGGATCTGAGATGACAAGAGAAGCTGTGATCTCGAGAGAAGCTRTAGAGCACTCATTTTACTTGAAGTCTATTTTGGAAAAAAATAGCTTATTTTARTATTACATTAAGCCTTAATTAAAATAGCTCTGATATATTATAGATTCTAGAAAAACTAACATTAATATTTAAAACTTCAAAGGAATTTTACATGTTTGGTAACCATTGTAGGAAATGGTCTAGCCCCTAACCCAACAAAGGATCTGTTATTTGATTTTAGACAACTTCAGTGAAAAAATTATCTCGACATTTTACTTTGTTTTATTTTTGCTAAAGCACTTAACATTTTATTATAGTTAGCTCTGACTACACCCTTTTTTCTTTACAGAATGTAAACTCTTTCAAAGCAGAAACATGGTGTATCTGCCCTAATGCAGTGCCTGGTGTGGGCGCCGTCACTGAGTACTTGGGGATAACTGGCATAGGGCATGAGCCAAAGGGAGTGTGCTAATGAATTTGTGTTTATAAATCTGCAAGTACCTACCTGTGATGAAATGGATAGTTAAAGTGAGGAATTCATGGGGAGAGAATTCTGAATTAGGTCTTGAATGCTGGAATGATTTTGCGTAGCTATCAGGAAGAAGTGAGAGTAGACAGATACAAGTGTTTTGTCAAAGACCTTATCTATGATTAGGGTTTCAAAATTCCTAGGAAGTCAAATTTCAATTCAGTGTGGGAGTTATGGGTTAAAGAACATATGTTTGGGGCAGTGTAGTTTGAGAAAAAAGATACATGAAAAGGCAGACCTTACTTCATGACTTACAAATGAAGTGTATTGTTCCTGGTTTTGTTTTTCTACCTTTATTATTAGCAGTGTTCTTTTATATTATGTGGTAAATAAGTAAGCAATGAAAGAATTGATTCAATGAAWGTTGGCATTTAGGGAGAAAGATCAAAATTATTTTTCTTGTTATAATTTCAGGAAATRGAGAAAGTCATACTGTTGATAACATGCAAATTAGGTTTAAGTAAAATGGTTATTATATGTAGAGGTTGAAACACATTTCATATGTCTTATATAGAATTGATACATTTTCATTTACTAAGCATTAATAAATATTCACTGTGAAACAGGTGATCTCTGTAAGGCCATTATGTTAAATACTTAGCTGAGTTTTACGTTTCTCTTATTCTCTTTTAGCATTATTAGTTAAACCAAAGGATCCACTGCTTCCATGGCTGCCTCACAAACTCCACAGACTGTTGCATCTCATGTTCCCTTTGCAGATTTATGTTCAACTTTAGAGCGAATACAGAAAAGTAAAGGACGTGTAGAAAAAATCAGACACTTCAAGGAATTTTTAGATTCTTGGAGAAAATTTCATGATGCACTTCATAAGAACCAAAAAAATGTTACAGATTCTTTTTATCCGGCCATGAGACTTATTCTTCCTCASCTAGAACGAGAGAGAATGGCTTATGGAATCAAAGAAACTATGCTGGCCAAGCTTTATATTGAATTGCTTAATTTGCCGAGRGAAGGGAAAGATGCCCTTAAGCTCCTCAATTACAGGACCCCCACTGGGACGCGTGGAGAGGCTGGGGACTTTGCAATGATTGCCTACTTTGTGCTGAAGCCCCGATGTTTGCAAAAAGGAAGTTTGACCATACAGCAAGTAAATGAACTTTTAGATTCYGTTGCCAGCAATAATTCTGCCAAAAGAAAAGACTTGGTGAAAAAGAGTCTTCTTCAGCTTATAACYCAGAGTTCAGCACTGGAACAAAAGTGGCTCATACGAATGATTGTGAAGGACTTAAAGCTTGGTGTTAGTCAGCAAACTATATTTTCTGTTTTTCATAGTGATGCTATCGAGTTGCATAATGTTACCACRGATCTGGAAAAAGTCTGTACACAGCTGCATGATCCCTCTGTAGGACTCACTGACATTTCCATCACTTTGTTTTCTGCCTTCAAACCAATGCTAGCTGCAATAGCAAACATTGAGCACATCGAGAAGGACATGAGACACCAGAGTTTCTACATYGAAACCAAACTTGATGGTGAGCGGATGCAGATGCACAAAGATGGCGATGYTTATCRGTACTTTTCCCGAAAWGGCTATAACTWCACTGAACAGTTTGGTGCCTCTCCRCAAGAGGGTTCTCTCACCCCATTCATTCATAATGCATTCCAGCCAGATGTGCAAACCTGTATCCTTGATGGAGAGATGATGGCCTACAACCCGAACACACAGACTTTTATGCAAAAGGGCAATAAGTTTGATATTAAAAGGATGGTGGAAGATTCTGATCTGCAGACTTGTTATTGTGTTTTTGACGTGTTGATGGTTAACAATAAAAAGCTAGGACGTGAGATCCTGAGGAAAAGGTATGAGATCCTTGGCAGTACCTTTACACCAATACCAGGTCGGGTGGAGATAGTGCAGAAAGCACAAGCTCATACCAAGAATGAAGTCATCGATGCATTGAATGAAGCAATAGATAAGCGAGAGGAGGGAATCATGATAAAACATCCCTTGTCCCTTTACAAGCCAGACAAAAAAGGTGAAGGATGGTTAAAAATTAAGCCTGAGTATGTCACTGGACTAATGGATGAATTGGATATCTTAATTGTGGGAGGCTATTGGGGTAAAGGTTTGCGGGGTGGAATGATGTCTCATTTTTTGTGTGCAGTAGCAGAGAAGCCCCCTCCTGGTAAGAAGCCGTCTGTGTTTCATACTCTCTGTCGTGTTGGCTCAGGATACACCATGAAAGAACTGTATGATCTAGGTTTGAAATTGGCCAAGTACTGGAAAGCTTTTCATAGAAAAGCTCCACCAGGCAGTATTTTGTGTGGAACAGAGAAGCCAGAAGTGTACATCGAGCCTTGCAATTCTGTCATCGTTCAGGTTAAGGCCGCAGAGATTGTCCCCAGTGATATGTACAGAACTGGCTGCACGTTGCGTTTTCCGCGGATTGAGAAGATCAGGGATGACAAGGAGTGGCATGAGTGCATGACCCTGGAGGACTTAGAACAGCTGCGGGGGAAGGCCTCTGGAAAGCTCGCTTCAAAGCACTTTTACCCAGGTGGAGATGATGAACCGCAAGAGAAAAAGCGGAGAGCACCCCCAAAGGTGAAGAAGGCTATTGGAATTATTGAACACYTAAAGGCACCTAACCTTTCTAACGTTAGCAAAGTTTCCAATATATTTGAAGATGTCGAGTTTTGTGTTATGAGTGGAACAGACAGCCATCCAAAGCCTGACCTRGAGAACAGAATTGCAGAGTTCGGTGGCTATATTGTACAGAATCCAGGCCCAGACACATACTGTGTAATTGCAGGTTCTGAGAACATCAGAGTGAAAAACATTATTTCTTCTGATACACATGATGTTGTCAAGCCTGCGTGGCTTTTAGAATGTTTTGAGACCAAAAGCTGTGTTCCATGGCAGCCTCGCTTTATGATTCACATGTGCCCATCAACAAAACAGCATTTTGCCCGTGAATATGATYGCTATGGTGATAGTTATTTTGTTGATACAGATTTGAACCTACTGAAAGAAGTGTTCTCAGGAATCAAAAATTCTAATGACCAGACTCCTGAAGAAATGGCCTCTGTGATTGCTGATTTGGAGTATCGATACTCCTGGGACTGCTCTCCTCTCAGTATGTTTCGACACCACACCATTTATGTGGACATGTACACTGTTATTAATGACTTGAGTACCAGAATCGAGGGAACAAGGTTAGCCATCAGAGCCTTGGAGCTCCGGTTCCACGGGGCAAAGGTGGCTGCTCACTTAGCTGAGGGAGTTTCCCATGTAATTGTTGGGGAGGATCACAGTCGCGTTTCGGATTTTAAAGCTTTTAGAAGAACTCTTAAGAAGAAGTTTAAGATCCTTCAAGAACGCTGGGTAACTGACTCGGTAGACAAGTGTGAGTTACAGGAAGAAAATCAGTATTTGATATAAGCCAGCTTTCTTAGGAAGGCCTTGGATCTGGTAGACCCATTGCAATATGCAGAAATGAAGAAGTGGCAGACTGCATTTTGCTTTTTTTAATCTATACTTAAAATTGTTTTACTGTATCTAATAATACTTTTTAACTTTTAAGAGGAAAGAAATGGAATGACCCAAAGCCAAGAAATTCTCTYAGTAGTATAGTATTYYATGATCCTCCTGCCTCAGCTTCCTRAGMACTGGGATTACAGGTGTGTGCCACTGCACCCAGTAAAAATTGCAATTTTAAAAGTGAGCCTACATTTAATTTTTTATTCTAAAATTGAACAGATTTTAAATCAAGTAATTTTATGTGAATTTGTATTCCAGTATATAGTATTCACCAAGTAATTTTCTRGGTATAATCCATTGAGTAGGTGTCAAAATGGCATGTGTGTCATAATTTTCTTCAGAGGCCAGTAAATTGCTTTGGCTTTTTAAAATAGCTTTTGTAAATAGATTATTTAAAGTCAATGTGTATAATACACTTTTTATCTGTATTTATATATCAAATTTTGAAATACAGCCTATATTTAAAAATATTCTTTCATGATTGTTGAAATGAATGGAATTTGGTACCCGAGATACTGGGTGTAGATAATGTGATATTAGAAGTTTTATGAAACAATAGAACAAATGTGTGATTTTTATACTGGATTTAAATAAAGTATTTAATATATTAAAATAATGTTTTATTTATGTCATATTTATTTTGAAAACTCCTCAGTAGTTATTTTCTGTCAGATTTTGTGCTGTCAATATAAGTTTTAACTGGTTTGAATCAGGTTCCTTTTCAAAGTGCTTCGTGTGTCATGGAATGAGCGTTTATAAATTTAAAACTTGTACTTTTTTGTCTAATGGGAAAACTTTTTGAATACATGTAAGTATGGTGAGGGTGAAAGCCCATTATTTTGCCACCAAAGATCATATTACCTGGTAGGTTTTCATCCTAAGGGAAGTGCAGCTCCCAGACATAAAGCTATACTGTCACCTCTTGGGAGTCCTCATGCTGTTTCTGGTCACCGGAACCTGCTTGCCTCCTGTTGGTGGCTGTGCGCATTCTTGGATGCACTGTGATGTATCTGGTTAGCCATTATTGCTTGGCTTGGATTGTTTCACAGAGCTTCCTCTATTTTTATTTTTCTTTCCCTTTTTTATTTCCTGTGAAGCAGTGTGATAGATCTTCATAGTGTCATTATGAGTTTTGGGGATTTAGTCCTTAGAAGTGGAAATGCYGTTTCTTAGGTATTTTTCAGTAAAATATGTGTTTAAAAACCCCAGTGAAGGTGATTTTCTTGCTTCCTCTCCTCTTCCCCATCTCCAAACGTGGGAGGTTCGGTTTCTCATTGCTGAACCTGTTCTGTACTTTAATTCCCTGTGTAGGTATTCTGACCTCCTGGCTTCCCGTGTACTGACAACTCCCACATTYCTTTAGCCCTCATTTCTTTGCTGAACTACAGTTCCTATATCTAACTATATACATTTCCATGTGACATCTAATAGKCCTCTCAAACCCAATGTTTGTGATTTCTTTTACAAAGTTCCATTGAAGAAACATTAAAAAATTAGTGTAATGAACCCGCTGTGTACTCTTCCCAGTTTGAATAGTTATGGATGATCAATCTTTCCTTTTGTTTCTCCAAGGTGTTGTTATGTTAATTATCAGTATCTAGACTGAGCCCAGGAGTGCTCTATCACAGAGCATCATCTCCAGCACTTTTTTTTTCATTCTGAAATAGGCTCATGCCACGATCCTTGGGCTGGCCTCAGTCTTGGTGATCCTCCTGCCTCAACCTCCCTGCTGGGAATACATGTATGGGCCACCATGCCTGCTCAGATTATTTTTAAAGTAATCTAGATCACCTGCTTTTATCTGCACATGTACCATAATTGAACCCTTGATATCTCAAATAAGGTGTGTTCTCTTTCAGTATTTTCTTTTACTACTCACCCTCCTCAAGGTAAAAACTGTGGAGTTATCCCTGACAGCCCATCTGTCCTCATTCCTACAATGCTTAGCACATCTATTCAGAACAGGACCTCTCTCCCCTCACTCCAGTGGCCAGCACCTAACCATTCCTCCGGTTTGTTTCACTGGTGTCTTAACCTGCCTTCTTCCATTCTCTTTGCATTATGTTCTGTTCTCCAGAGCAAAGGTTTAAAGATGCAGATCAGATCGTGTTACTCCTCTGTTAAAACCACTGACTTGCCATCAGTCATAATATCCAGCCTGTACCATGGCCTGGTTTGGGCTAGCTGGCCAGACTTTACCTGGCTTTGGTTAGCTAGTGTCATTGCCTACTCAGTACCCTCTGTGCCTCACGCCCCTCCATCACCCCCTTAGGCCCGCTGCGCTGCTTGCACCGCTGCACCGCAGCGCTCTCTGGATCTGCCCCACCCACAYCCAGCCCGCACTGTCCCCCTCTCAAAGCACTGCTGCCCACCACCAGAGTGGGGCTTTCACGGACGAGGACAACTGTTTCTTGTTCGTTGTCACAGTGGTCATTCGGCTATTGATGGAATCGGTGTGCTGAAGCCGACTGAGAAAACACTTGGCTCCTATTCCCCAAGGCCAGGCATCTTCTTCCAGGAARCAGGACAGGATTTACCAGGAACTTGAGCCTCCTCTGAGTCACTGAAGACTTGGATCCAGGCTCAGTCACTCACTCCTCAGGATGGAGTAGATGCCCACACGTGGCTTGGCCTGAGGTCTCAGTAACAGGGTCACTTTGGGCCCTTGGACTCCTCGCYTTTGAGAAAATGGGTTGGGCTTGTCTAGTGTGGCATTCTTTAGCTCCAGAGCTATTCTGTAAAAACTGCTACAACTTATTTTCAACCAATATAAGAAATTCCTTCTCTCTCTGGTAATCCTTATGGTAAAAAGATGAATAAGGCAGTCTCTGTCCTCAAGGAACTCAGGATGCACCAAAGGATAGATAATTGGATGCCAAAGATGAGGGTTTTCCTAGTGAAGGGACCAAGGCTTTGCCCTAAAAAGGCCATGTGGAGTAGGGGAGAGGACACCTTCTACAGCCAGGTCCCCTGGGGCTCAATTCCAGTCCTGCTATCACTTGGGTATTATTTTGACCCACAACTACCTCTTTGAACCTTAGTTTCTTAATTTTCAAGTAAAAGGGACACCTGTCTCACCAAGGTTGGAGCACAGAGTTACAGCACAGCACATAGTAAGGTCTCTTCAGTTTCTATCTGCTACTCTCACCTAGGCCATCCGCGATGTGATAAGTGAGTAGATTCAGAAAGAAGTAGAACATCAGGCATCGTGGTATGGAAGGCAATACAGAAGTGTGGGGCTAGTGGTAGAGCACTCACTGTACCTACTTCTGTAGGTACAGAGGTTAGGGTAGATTTTGGAAGGTATGAAATGCCACACTACAGAATGTGGATTGTATCTGGTGTTCCAGGAAAGTGAATTGAAGAGTTGCAGGCCAGGTATCGATCTCAGATCAGGTTGTTTATTTCATTTTGTTTTTGTTTTTTCAGTTTCAGTTTTTAGACCACTTTATTGAGGTTTCATTGAAACRAGAGACTCCATGTATTTGATTGTATTCAATTTGATGAGTTTGGAGATAAGCACACACCTGGGAGATCATTGTCACAATCAAGGCCACAAACTTATTAACTCAAAAAAGTCACCACCTCTCACCTTGACCGATTCCTCTTACCTCTTCACCATCCACAGACGCAGTGCCTCCTGAGCTCCAGGCTCTGTTCTGTCTCCTGGTGRGACAGACGTCCCTGTCTGTCTTGCAGGCACTTCAATTGGGAACAGGGGAAGACTGTTTCCTCTGCTCTGAAGTCTCGATTCACCCTCCTTAAAGTCTGTTTCCTTATCATTTCAATCCTGGGAGTGTAAAATGGTGCCACCTTTAAAAACTGGTAATTTTTAAAGTTGTAGATCTGTAACTCATCAAGTCTATACTGTCACAAGAGRAGGAGAAAAAGCAGTCTACAAAATCATTGGTACAAGAATATTCAAAGAACCTGTTTCCCTGATAGCTGTAAACCAGAAAGCCATTCATCTTTCAGTCGGAGATGGATAAAGAAATCAATCCGTATGCTCACATCACAGAACTCTCCTCAGCAGCCTCCGAGTGCCAGCTGATGCCCACAGGAGTGAGCATTCCTGCTTGAGTGACAGAAGCCAGATGCAAATAGCACACATATTGTATGATCCCGTTATATGAAGTCCAGAAACAGATAAAACTAATCCTTAGTGATAGAAATCAGAGCCGACTTGTCTCTGGGAAGGAGGGTTAACTGAAAAGGAACAAAGAGATTTCTGAAATGATAGAAATTTAATTACCTTGATTGACATGTTGGTTACACAGATGTACATCCTTATCAGGGCTCTTAAGATTTTCTTATTTTACTGCTTGTAAATTATATTTTAATAATTTCCTTAAATATTAAAAACAATTATTGACTTCATAGTCTTCTAGAGACAAAATATCCCAGTATTTTTAAATGAATGCTGTGAGAACATCAATAAAACATTTCCAAACAATTTTCAATTTTAAGGAGTATGAGGATGAACCAATATTAAGRTCTGTATTAGGCATGCAACTGTACTCATGGACTAAAGGCAGCAACGAAAGCTGGTTTAAGAAATTCAGTATTTTTCATAGAGAAAATAAATGAATGACGTAAAATGGAGACTTATTAAATATACTTTTTAAAAGAGCAAATCTTTGGCATTCTTGGGTGGCGGTGACAATCTAGCTTGTTTTTTGAATCTCTCAAATTCCCACATAAAAACCAGACAGAATGATTAGGTAGCAAACAAAACCCCACAGACAGTATTTACAACAGTGAGTGATGAGGTACCCCCCAAACCCAACRTACACCTAGGTGAGGGCAAGCAGGTGGACACCAAGGTCAGCGTGGATTCCAGTGCACCAAAACACGCCAAAATAGAAGAAGAAAAGGAAAGTAGGAATGAAGAAACTCTGGAAAAAATGACACATTTCAGAAAAACTCAGAAATAAGGTGACAGAACTCAGGAATTAGATGTAAACTCTACATGTAATTAGTAACCTAAACCCATAGAAGAAGTGATGGTGTTATTTCACTTTCTACCACTTTAACAAATACATGAGACAATCAACTCGTAGAAGACAGTTGTGTTCTGGAGGTTCCAGTGCKGGACTGATTGGTTCTGTTACTTTTGCTCTGGGGCCTGTGGCAAGAAAACACATCACACTGGGCGTGGGTGGTGGAGGAAGACTGCTCACCTCGCGGGGGGAAGAGAAGGCAGAGCTGGGGCCCACAGTCCCCCTGGAGGGCATGAGGTGACCTAAACACCTTCCAAACGCTCCACCTCTTAACGGTTCCAAGTCTCCTGATAGTGCCACCTCGGGAATCACACCTTCAGCTCCTGGGCCTTTGGGGTCCACAGAATCCACACTCTAGCAATGTGTCTAACTACATACCACAASAGTCTACACAAAATCTTAAAGGTTTTGGTCTTTTTATCACTGTTAAGTCAGTTTGGGGGTAAAGGGGCACGGGTTGGCACTTTTTACTCCACGGCCTCGTTGACATCACTCTTCCTTATGTCTGACTCTTGAGAAGGCCARATAGCCTCTGGTCCTTCTCGTTCAGTGGGAA